CTACAGGAGAATGTTTGCCGGCCTCATACAAATGGAGTAATTCCTCTCTGCAGCAATAATTATATATTGGGTGACCAAGGTCTAGAAGTTTATCAGATCAGGAAAGCATAATACAAATTCTGTTCCCTTTCTCATGCACTTCAACTTACTACTGCCTTCAACTCCCTATCTATAAACCCACAGCCAATACAGCCACCCTCAACTCCCCAAATTTTCAAGAACAATTCCACATCTCTCTTTGAGACTCAAAGGGCATCACGCTACTGCTGGGGACACGATTTGCAGCTTGCATGGACGTACCCATAGTAGCTTTTTTCTAGTTAGCTTGCTAAAAGTAGTGAGGACACAGCAGGCAACACAAGTGAATACTTCCCCAGAGGGAGAATCAGGCTTGTTCGGCCCATACTTCTATAGTTAGCTAGCTTAAAGCTAGTTCACGCAGGCCTACCCAAGCTGCAAATGGCACTCCGAGCTGCGGCACAGATGTACCCAAAGGCTTGGTACTCTTCCCTTTCTCCCTGCTAATACAATGCAATATATGCAACTTATAGGTAACCATATGGGTTAGATGGGGGAAAGGGTAAGAAACCATGTTTATTAGGATTATTTAAATCTGGAGTTGATGGCAACATGAAGTCTGCTGACTGGTAACAGCAAGGTTAACCAGCAACTGAAGAGACTGATATGTAATAAAAAAAATATACCATCAGGATATGATCAAAACCCTGATCATCCTACTTGTATTCCCCTTTCCTCTCCTCTTTGACAGGGATACTTTCTTTGGGGAAGAGACTGTACCACTCTGGTGTGTTTATATAGAACCTAACACTTTCTCCAAAGTAGCTACAGGGTAGGGATTTGTATATTTATTACAATCAGACACAGTGAAAATTAGAAACCCTCAGAGTTCAAGGAACAGTATAAATAAGTAGTAATTATAGACCCAAAAACTACTACAATGCATCATTGGAATTCTCAGCCAGTCTTAATGGAATCCTTGAACTAGTATTATCCAGAAACATGTGCCAAACACAATCAAAACCAGTCTAAAGTGCATAAGTTTGTTTTTAAACAGAAATATTTTGGCTATATAATTGCCAATGAAATTCAGAGAAACAGAACAAACAGGGACCAAATTAGAGAGAAAGCACCAAGTAAAATTTACAACAACTCTGAGCCACTGGTGCAGAGTAAAGATCTAAAAAAAAGGCTCATAGCTAGGGAGAGAACAATATTATTTACCAGTCTGTACAACTTGAGAAGTAAGCCCAAACATTTGCTTGACTTTGTGCATATGGCATGAGGATGACTGAACTTCACAGCTCAAAAAAAGAAATGTTTATTGTTGTAAAGTATTCAAGATGAAAACCAAGATTTGAGATGGAACCACACGACATATTACACACTGTAAATTTAATCTTGACTTTTCATCCATTTAACCTTCTGTTTTTAATTTGTGTTTTGTAGCAAGCTAAGTTTCATGTTCTTGCATTGAGACTGGTATTCGCAACCTCACTTCTTTACTCTTGGGGAATTCTTCATCACTGTGCATGCACAGAATTCATATCCCACACAGAAAAAGGACTTCTGAAGGAAAGGGAAGTTGCAGGAGCACATACACCTTCCCAGAAGCATAGACAGGTCAGTTAGGGTGCACGGAGCAGCCAAACCACAGGTGGGGAGGGGCTGGGCTTTTCTGAGAGAGAAAAAAAGTTTTGGAGGGATAGCCATGTTAGTCTAACTGACACTTAAACAATGAATAGTCCTGCAGCTCCTTAGAGCAGTGGTCTCCAACCTTTTTACACCCAAGATCACTTTTCAAATCTCAGAACAGGCGAAGATCTACCGCCCCGCCCCTTCCTTGAAGCCCCGCCCTCTATTCTCCTCCTGTCCATCACTTGCTATCCCCAGCCCTTACTTACACACTCTGATAAACAGTTTATTTTTAAATTATGCGATACATACAATTAAAATCACGTGTTTATAGTTATGAAATAAATGGTCTGTTTTTTATTCATGCTATTTAAATCTAAAATGAAGCATTTATAATTATACATTTTGTGGGGACAGAGTACTGTGGCTAGGAGCAGGGGAGAGGGAGCAGGGTGCTGGGAGGGCAGAAAACAGGATTCTGCAGCTGGGGACAGAGTGCCAGTGGGGACAGAGTTCGGGGAGTGGGGAGAGCATTCTGTAGTTGAGGACAGGGGAGTGGGATGCCAGTGGAGGCAGAGAGTCCCCTGCATCTCCCTCCTCCCAGCATTCTCCCCCACCCCCCGGAAACCAGCACGTGCCTTCCCAGGGGGCCAACCCCCCCACCCGCGCAGGGAAGCCA